GTTCTCTGTCCATGGGATTTTTCAGCCAAGGATACTGGACGGGGTTGCCATGCTCTCCTCCAGGGGATTTTCCCCACCCAGGTATCGAACCTGGATCGCCTGCATGTCCTGCACTGCAGGTGGGTTCTTTTACCACTGAGCCACAGGGAAAGCCCCAGAATATTAGGGGTGCATATCTGCCTTGGCATCAAGTTGTATACATGCCCACCTGCTCTGCAGCAAGGGAACTGCACATGGGCCTTCAAGTAGGTTTTTTTAAAGCACCTGTCAAAATATTTTATTCTACAAATAACACAACTAAAAACTTCTAGGTGTATGCCAAAGCTGAAACTGATGTCATCCATTCTGTTCTCTCTAACTACATCCTGAGTGTCTCTGAATTCAAATATTTACCCTTCTCTGCTTCATGATATCTGCAAGTCACTTTCTGAGGTCATTACTTGAGTCTTGTAGACCTCAGAGTTCATGGATAAATTCTCCTTTAGTCATCCCAAAAACCCAGGAAGGGGTTCTTATAATAATTGTCTTTGGTTTCTAGTTGTAGAAACGGAGACCCAGAGAGTGACTCTCCCAACGTCACAAAGCTTTGGAATTTGAAGATGTCACATTAGATCACTGAACTTGAACTTGGTTCTTCCAACCTCACGGTAGGTGCTCATTCTACCAAATACAGTTCAGTAAGGGACTTAGTAAACACACGACCACAAATCATTCATAAAGGGAGGGAACCACAAGAAGACAGGTTGAATCCTGTGCTCAGAGGGGCTGTTTCACTTGGTCAGTCCCTGGGCCTCACAATGACGTCCGCCCCCAGGGACATGCACACGCATGGTGCTCGCTGGGCCAAATCTGTTTCCACTTGTGATGATTCTCCTAAAATGATCCTCTTCAGTTCAGTTCAGTTCAGTCACTCAATTGTGTCCGACTCTTTGTGACCCCATGGACTGCAGTGTACCAGGGTTCCCTGTCTTCCCATCCTCTTCTACCTACCCAAATTTGAGCTATACTTGACTAGGGAAAAAGAAATAAAGCCAGTGTTGAACATAAACCCCTAACTAATAAAATCCTGCATCTCTTCTCTGGTATGACACCAGATCTTTTGAGGAATTCCAAATTCAAGTCCACACCCTCTGCCTTCTAGGCACTGCCCTTGGCAATGTCAAGGTCACAATCAAGCACCAACCAACTGCACCCATCCCCCTATCCATGGTAGCTCCTCCAGCTAGAATCTGCTATTTTCTGCTGGTTTTGTTTCTTTCTTCCAGTCACCATGATTTCCTGAGACACTGAAAAGCATCTTCTGTGAGCTGAGTTCTGGGACTGGTTCTGCACATCAAACATTTTGGAAATGACCACACTGCATAGAGAAGATGAGGGGAACAGAATGCTGTAACACAGGATTTTATTAATACATAAAACATAGACTGCTTCAACTAGACTGAGAAAATGAGCTGCCTGGAGAGAGGCAAAGTATACAGACAGACAGTGGCCAGATCATATGCAGAACAGAACCCCAGCCTGTAGCAAAGCGCCGAGGAAACACACCCTATGCACAGAAGCCAGCATAGGAGGCCAGCCAGCTGTGAGTCAGGCCTGTAGGCAGTCAGACACTTTCTCTAACCACAGTCCAGGAAGCTACACAACAGCTTCTGTAACAACTGGCCCCAAATAGCCAGCGCTTGATTAATAACAGCTTCCCTAACCTTTGTCCCTGCTTTCAGCTTAGGACCAATCAGAGAAAGCCAAATATGCTCCCCTAAGCAATCACACTGTGCGCTCTAGTTACCTCACCCCTAGCTTCCCCAAGGCCAACAGCTTCCAGTAATTACTGGAACCTCCTTTTTTTTCCACTGCAAAACTTTCCCATTCCTCTGTCTGCCTTGGAGTTTCTGCCACAACAAAAGCGATGGTGATTGACTCCCTTGCTATTAAGGTCTGAACAATACCCTTTCCTTCTTCTCACTTGGTAGGTCTCTATTTCCACCTTGGATAAACATCATCTTTGAAAAATCTTTACTGAGTCTATCAGATCCCTTAGCTATTGATCAAAACCATAAACTTTTTTAGAGAGAAGCAAATATTTTGTATTTACCTAGAAAATCTAATTTTATTTCTAAGAATGTTCCTATTTCCCTCGAAATCACACAGTGGTAAAGGATCCGCCTGCCAATACAGGAGATGAAGGTTCAATCCCTGATCAGGAAGATCCCTTGAGGAAGGAAATGGCAACCCAGTCCGGTATTCTTGCCTAGGATATCTCATGGACAGAGAAGCCTGGCAGGCTACAGTCCTGGGATTGCAACGAGTGGGACACAACTAAGCGCCTGAGCAAGCTCACACGCATAGAAAACAAGAAAGACTTCAGGCTGCCATTTAGACACATTGTATCCAACCAATGTATTCTTATTATTCCCTCTCTCTGCAGAGAGCAGATGATTCTTAAATCAAGAGAAACCCTCAGTCCATTGATCAAAACCAGGATGGGAGATCTAGAAGCTTTCAGACAGACGAAAGGCCCTCTAAGAACCTAAGGGTATCCCACAAGGTCCTCTCATTCAGTAGGGCTTCTAAGAACCTCTGAGTATTGTCCCAGTATCCTCACAGAGGTCCTAAAATAGAGAGAGGCCTCTCTTGGAAATGTTTGTGCTTTTGTCTAACGGAGTGAGGGTTTGCTATTCTGATGATATAAAAACAGACCCGCCAGCATCCTAAGGAGAGTACCTCTTCCCTCCTCAACTCTCCATGCTGTGGGGCACAGCTCAAAAGGAAATGGAAATTGCATTATGCACAGAGCTAAGGGGCTTTCCTGGTGGCTCAGCGGTAAAGAGTCTGCCCACCAACACAGGAGATACAAGAGATGTGGGTTTGATCCCTCGATCAGGAAGATCCCCAGAGGAAATGGCAATTCATGCCAGGATTCTTGCTGGGCAAGTCCCATGGACAGAGGAGCATGGTGGGCCAAGTCCACAGGGTTGCAAAGAGTGGGACTTAGTGACTAAACCAATATCACCACGGAAGTTAATGATGACCATCTGTCACCAACCTAACTCACAGGGCAGTCCATGGACTGAAAGGGCTGTTCACCAAGGGGCTCAAGAGTGTCCAGGAAATAGGATGTGGGGAGTGTGTTCCCACCCCAGCTAACTCGGGGGATCCCTCATCCAATCAGGTCTCACCAATTTCTCAGCTGATCTAAAAACTACACAGAAAACTCAGGCCCTCTGTGCAAGATACCATCTTAAGAATTTTCGCCAGATCCTAAACGAGAGAATTCACATTTGAGAGAGGGTTTCTCTGTTGCCCAAATGATGCATCTCCTCCCTTGGGCTTAATAGAGACACATCCACCTGTATTCCTGAGAAAGATACATTGATTAAGAAAGGCAAAAACCCTAACTCAGAAGCAAGATTGTATTCAATCTTTTTTCCTCTTAGCAAATGGGGCCATAATTCGAAGGAAATGGAATGTGAAGCTGTTGAGAGCCGAGCCCCACATGTGCGTCCACGTGTTGTACGGGTTGTAAATAACACGCGTGACTGCGCCAGGCACCAAATTGCTCGTTAGCTGCCAACATTAGTTGTTTAATGATCTGAAGAGCAGAAGCTGCCAATTATTGTATTCCTTCTTAAAATGCCATTTAAAACCCATACATGTAATTATTATACCTTTTCATTAAATTTTTATGATTCTTCTGGAGCTGATGAGCTATGGATTCATTCAACTTATAAAACAGGCTGTCATTACATAACTGGGTTAAAAATCCATACATCACGCCTGGACACTAGCCCTGATCTAGTCCCACTCAGTTAATGGAGTGAACTTAACCACAAGGCACATTCCAGGGCCTCAATCTCTCCCTCTGTTCCTCGGGATCACAGTGTTTCTCCCTCCTACCTGATAGAGCTGATGTGAAAGTAAAATAACAAGTGCAGAGGAATGTTCAAAAGCACTGTTCAGAGGCTTCCCTGGTGGTCCATTGGCTAAGAATGCAGGGAACACTGGCTTGATCCCTTGTCGGGGAAGATTCCACATGCCTCAGGGCAACTAAGGCCATGGCCAGAAGTACCAAGCCCATGATCCACAATATGAAGCCACCACAATGAGAAACCTGCCCAGCAACTAGAGAAAGCCCAGGTACAGCAACAAAGACCCACCACAGCCAGTAAATAAATAAACCTTTTCTCTAAGTACTGTTCAAATGAGAGAGTAAGATCCTATTTTCAGAGACTCGTGTTTTCAGCCTACTGATTAATGGAAAAGTATATCCCTTTATAACTACCAAATTAAGGAAGGATAATGATCCACTGAAAATCCTCCAAAAATCTCTTATCTATGACTAGGTTGTTACTCTGAGTATATCAATTTGTCTCCTGTTACCACTCTTTCCCCCATAGCAAGTGGTTGATCACACCCTCACTGAGCATCTCCAGATACATAAATCTGTAGAAACCCTGACTAGGATTACATGGCATCCAGATTACATCTAGTCTCTAAACTCTTAAACAGAAACTGGTAATGCAAACTACACAAATAGCTATTTTATATAATGTGTGCTTGTGCATTTTTAAGAGTCTTACCCATCCCTTATAGGGCTACCCTGGGTCAGTGGTAAAAACTCCGCCTGCAATGCAGGAGATGCTGGTTCAATCCCTGGGTTGGGAAGATCCTCTGGAGAAAGAAATGGTAACCCACTCCAGTCTTCTTGCCTGGAGAATCCCATGGACAGAGGAGCCTGGCAGGCTACAGTCTATGGGGTCACAAGAGTTGGACCCAGCTTAACAAATAAAAACTAACAACCCATCCCTTATAGAGAAGCCATGCTGCCCATCTATTACATGAGTTTCAGTGAGACTCTCCGCAAAGGCTCTGAGTTGTCAAGTGACAGGTAGAATGCTACACAACATTCAGGTACAGGTAGACTTAATCCAGAACAAGACAGGGGTGTGGCGCTTGTCATCACTCACTCCACCTGTCTCCATGTCCCCTCTGTCCCCAGGTACCTGAGATGGCAAGCATTTTGGCTTCAAACAACGCTGGCAGTTGGGTTTCAATATCGTTAACCTTCTTTCTCAGGGCACTGCAGAGTCGTTCACTCATACACACCTAGAAGGAGAGAGACAGCCATGAACCACCATTTACTCAGGCAGAGATGAGAGGGTGACAGGGCACCAGCCAGATTCCTGGGTTTCTAAGTAGCAAAGGGGCGATACAGAATAACTGCAGGAGAGTTCCTAAAAAACAAGCAATGCATAAAGGAAGGAAGGACGGAAGGAAGAAGAGAGGAAGGGAAGGAGGCAGGGAGAAAAAGAGGAGGGAGGAGGGAGGAGGGGAAGGAGGAGGAGGGGAGGAAATGGGGAAGGAAGAAAGGGGGAGGGAGGAAGATCCCAGGACCCCTCAGGCCTCTGAAGCGCGCCTCCCGCCTCACCTGCCCCCCCCACATTATACCACGAGAGGCCCCGAAACTCACTGCCTCTTCCCAGACCATTTGATCTCGATTTCAAAGGGGTCTTTGTGCCGTGCCTGCTGGCATGTGGGCCTGGCCGTGCGCTGACACCGGCCTCGAGTGGCTCCGCTGGCCCCTGGGGGCACAGCCCACAGGGCTCTGCCTTGGGAAGGAGGGCCGTGTGGCTCACCCACAGAACAGAACCACCACTTGGCCCTCCCTCCCCAGCCGCCTGCCCCTGCGGGGTGTCTGTCGGTGCCGCCCTGTCCAGCTGACACTCCATCATTCTCCCTTCATTTTCCTCTTGTATCTCTGGGGAGCATACACGCTATGGGAGCAGGGATTTCATTCTGTGTCTGGCACACAGTAGGCAGGAAAAAACGGTGCACAGACGTTGCGATCAAAGGCAGATTTGAAAAATAGACAAGTAGATCTCAGGAAAGTTTGCAGGTTTTAGCATTTCACTTCCTACATCTTTCTTGATCTTTAAAAAATAGCAAAAATCTTAAATCTCACTTTGTTTTTCCAGATTTCTTAGGCTATTTTGTATTTGTTGAAACTAAAATACAACATTTTGTTTCTTTTATTTAAAGCAAAAACCTTGTATTCAACTGCTATCTATACTGAGATTAATGAACTACCTAAAAAACCTCCAGTTCAACAAAAGCACAGAGCATGGCTGAATAACAATGAATACATATGTGAAGACATCTGGGGGATCCACAAAGGATGTTACTTAGAAGCACCCCGCTTTTCTTGCCAAAAACCTAACATTCCATTCAAGAAATAAAAACCCAGGTGGGTTCACAGAGCCCAGAGAAAATATAAAATTGAATCTCCCCAGAAGTTTCCAGCTCATGCTAGATATTATCACCTTGAAGTGCTTTGCTGATCTCAGACTTCAACAGAGATTCTTTCTAAAATCAACACAAACCTCACCCACCCCGTCTAAAATAGTACACCCTTGCCCCCATGGCCTTCAGCATGTTCCTTTCTATTAAGCAGCTGTAATCTCCCAAACCTCTTTATAAAAATCTCTGGATGAAGGGACAGTGTAAAGGCTTCTACCCCAAAGCTCACACCAGCAGAGCTGAGAAACCACTGTTCAAAGCCATCAAGTTGGAGACACCCTCTCAACGGTCCTGAGATTCATCACAGTGTCAGGACCAGGAGTTAAAGTAAGTTGCTCTGACATCCGCCCAAGCACTGTCTCATAGACTCCATGCTGATGACAGGAACGCCCTCTCCCCTTGGTTGAAAGCATGTCACCAGAGGTCCCAGGACATTTCTGTCAACTCGATTACCCCAGTCATGATTGCTGCATCTCACCCAAGTACGTCCAGTATTTCTTATTTTAGCTCACAGTCTCTTTTAACCATAATTGGGTCAGTTTCTCTTTTATTGAGCGAGCTGTCACTATTAATATGAAACAACCTCTAAATCTTCTTATTAAATTGCAGTGTACATTCTTTCCGGCACTGCTGAATGTAATCTAATATCTACCAACCTCCGGATACCCCATTTATTTCCAACACTTTCTTCCATCTCATTTATCCCCTAATTACCTTTGGTTTGGGTAACCCATAAGAGTCAAAAAATGTAATGAGTGGAAGGCAGGTGCCAGCTCTCTTTGAGGAAGGAGTTGAAAGAATATCAGATTATTGTGTCTAATACACTGAAGAAAGAAAAGTGGGCCAAGCTGTGACTTTGACTTCAAGGTCACCAGTCAATCAAGCTCAGAGTAGACAGAAAGTTGTTGCGTGTGACTGAGTAGTTTTAATTCTCTATAGACTAATATATGGCCCTCATACACACACACATTCATGTATGTGCACATGTACACACCCACCTATATACACAAACACACATGCCTGTAGGCATGCATGCCCCAGAAAATCTGCATCTCCTTTTTTATTTCCAAATAAAATTAGACCCTAAGGAACCCATTATCAAATGGAGCTTTTCCATTTCCATTTTAAAATCATAGGCATGCATTCGTTAATTTTATGGAAAAGCAAGGGAATTGTAAATTTTTTTGTAAATGTTTTAGAGAAAAGATACAAACAAAGCGAAAGACTTTTGGCATTTGAGCAAATCATAGCAGCTGGAGACGATCAACAAATCCCAGTGTCGTGTGTACGTGTGTACGTGTGTGTGTGCGTGATATAAGATGTCATAGAAAACACACACATACAAACACCATCTGTGTTACAGATTATGCACATCTACATCCTCCCTGTTGGGATCCAGACTCATCCGTGTTACACACACAGTATGTGTTTATCTGATGCTCAATAAACCCAAACCCAAGAGTCCTTCCATGCTTTAATTCTACACAGAAATTAGGACGTACTTAAAATGGCATAATTTCTAGCAGGAAGTACGAGGTACTTCGACCGCCTCCCCAGTCAGGAAGCTTTGGCCCCACCTCACTGCCCCAGTGGCTCCACTGGGGGTCACAGAAGTGGATGGACAGGACTGTCAATGGGGACATCACCGTCACTGATAAGGCAGAAATCCAGGTGTGCTGTCTAGTATCCGCTCTTGCTTCCTATAACAAAACTGGTAAACCAAGCCAGTGCCCTTGACCCAGTTGGGCCGGGGACAAGGTGCCAGCCACACTCAGCCTGGGAGCCTGAAATAAAGCCCTTTCCCAAGTTCTGCATGTGGCTTCAGGTCCCCTGCCGGCTGCCTGAGTCTCCTCCTGCCCTTCTGCTCTGGGTGAGCATTCTGGGGTGGATCTTTGGGAAGGCAGGGCAGGTGGGCATCAAGCGTTCTGGGGTCCAAGGCTCAGTCCTCACAGGAGGCTCTCTTTCGATGCGGGGCAGAACTGCCCATCAAACTGCTGCTGTGTGGTCTTTAGCAAAATCATATAAAGTTTTTTTCAAAAGTGAACTAGACACAGAAACCAGGAAAAGGACCAGAGCCACTGTGGACATTTTTTGCCAAGAATACACCCACCTTCTTGGCTCTGCTGGGGTCTCCACACCCCCACAGGTCTTCCTGCTGTCTTCGCCGGAGACGGAGAACAAGGTCTTCCCTCCAGGCCAGAGGGCTCTTGGCTGCTTTGCTCTCTGCTCAGAATCCTGCCCTTTGTGTATTTCAGCCATCTTATACCCACCCTGGTTCCCAGACCCAACACAAATCATTAATGATTCAGACCTAGTTCTCTGCCTGCCTCCCCTCTAATAATAATTCACAGGGTAATTGATCCTGCTTCAGAGTTTGTCAATAACTCGGTGGGGAGTAACTATCTCTCTGGAGGAGGGTTTTGTTTCGTAACTGTGGTTATCCTCACTGACCGCACACTGACTATTTAAGTGAATTGACTGTGTGGCTCCCAGGGAATAATGTTGGGTCCTCTATCTCTATGCAAACCAAGGTCCTGATATGAAGTATAAATGGCAGGTAAGATAGGCAAAATGATTTCGAAATCAACTTAACTTTTAAAAACAAAACAAAACAAAAAAAGCAAGCACCTACTGTACCACTTCCATTTGTTTGTGAAAAACCTGAACTCAGCCCTTCTGGAAGGGAATGTAATCAACTTCTCAGATTACACCCATCCTAGAAGCCTTTTTAAGCAAAGACATTTGATTGTGCACAGCAGTAATCATGTTTCCTTTCCCGGAGGCCAAGCCCATCGATGCCTAGGGACCGCAGTCAGAACATCCACCAGAGGAGCAGCCCTTGGCCCTGGCTCATTGGCTGGCCCATCACTTAGCCTGTAGAATGGTTTTGCCAAGGCTATATTTTGTCCAGAGCCCAGGTGATCTGTGACATGAAATTACATCGAAAGAAAACTTCAGCAACGTCTTTAGAAAGTGGGCATAGAAAGGTACTTACCTTAGCAGTGATTTCTTTAAGTGACAAGCTGAGGGACTTTATCCTTTCCTGGAGGCTAGAAGAATTGAAAAGAGGTCGTTGGTCTTGGTAAAAGCTCAGTCCTACCACATGTCACAAGATGGCAAAACAGTGAAACTTCCATCAGCCCAATGGCTGAAGAAGAACAGTAGGAAAGAAGATGCCAAATTGGTTCCATTTGACTGAAATTACTATGTTTCTAGGAAGCTGAGTTTTCCCTCCCTAATTATGTTCTGCCCAGGCTGGTATTAAAATCTGTTATCATTCCCATAATGCACATCTACTGACAGAGTTAACAACTCAGATGTGTTTCTGGCATCAAAAGATTAAATTACACTCCTACAAGTACCTTCCAAGAAAGATGGTCTATCCAGGGTAGTCTCACAGGCAGGTGATCCAATATAATCTGTTTGGGTTAATAATTCAATCAATATATTCCAAGCATCTTATGGGTTGAGCAGGAAGGTGCAGCATGGAGAAGACACATATATTTAAAGTATCTAAAATAGAATTCTCTGCTCTTTAGGCTTTTCCCTGCTTCTTTTTCACTCCTTAGCACTATGCATCTTGACATATTTATTTACTCATGTAATTTCTTTCTCCCCTCTTTGGAATAAGAGTTCCACAATTGGAGCAACTGCCTGCATCCTCCTGTGTCCATTTCTGTATCCTTGGTGTTCAAGATAATTCCTGGAGCTTCTAGGTGGGTCGGTCAATATCTACAGAATGATCAAATGAATGAATGAAACTAACTCTCAGGCTTTATTTCCATCACTGTTATCACTGCTATCTATGGGAGAAAAAGTACAAAGGAGCCACAAAGAGTCGGACATGACTGAGCTCACACACACATGATAACCAACGGAGAAAGATGGGGAGGAAGGGGCAATTATGAATTTGGGATTAACATATACACACTAGTATATATAAAATAGGTAAACAAGGACCTACTGTATAGCACAGTGAACTAGACTCAATATCTCAATATATGGGAAAAGAATTTGAAAAAGAATATACATATATGTGTGCATGTGTGTGCAAGTCATTCAGTCGCATCTGGCCCTTTGCAACCCCGTGGACTGTAGCCCACCAGGCTCCTCTGTCCACAGGATTCTCCAGGCAAGAATACTGGAGTCCAGGGGATCTTCCCAACCCAGGATCAAACCCACATCTCTTATATCTTCTGTGTTTGCAGGAGGATTCTTTACCACTGGTACCACCTGGGAAGCCATATATATACGTACATAACTGAGTCACTTTGGGGTACACCTGAAACTAACACATTGTATAATAAATCAACTATACTTCATTTTTTTAAATAAATTAATTAAAAGTAATAATAATAGTATCTTATACATAGGTTTTCCCAGCCACATACAAAGACTAGTTCATGCATTAACAATTAAGACAGAATTTAGCTGACCAGAATGGCAGTGCCTTTAGCTCATGCCCAACGGGTCAAGCACCATCCTTCCAGGGTTTCACACATTCATTGGTCTTGGCTCAGTCTTGGCCCTGTCCCAGAAAGAAGATTAGTCTCCTCTAAAATACTGATGTTAAAGCAGGGAGGCAGTGAGGCAGATAATTGAATGCATTGTTTTATATTTGATTTGATTTATATTTAATTTATTTAATTTATGCTATATTACTTTTTTGCAGTAGATTTACCTTCCTAATTATGTTTTGCTCAGGCTAATATTAGCATTAGTTGCATCCCTGGGGTACACACAGATGGAAGCAATAGGGGGCAGAAGAATATAAATCATCTATACCCCACGCGAGTGATTTTCAAGCTATTTTTAGTAGTAAGAGTGCTTTCAAATGAAATTTTACTCAGTATAGTCATATATACAATAGATAATAGGGTGTCTATTCTGACTGAGATGGGATGTCTGGCCTGGGGTACAAATGAGGCCACACAGACCCCGCACACTGAATATTACCACCATCACCCACGCGTGTCATGCACTCAGTCGTGTCCAGCTCTGCAACCCCATGGACTGTAGCCCACCAGGCTCCTCTGTCCATGGGATTCTCCAGGCAAGAATACTGGAGTGGGTAGCCATTTCCTCCTCCAGGGGATCTTCCAGGGGTCCCCAAATCATGATTCCAGGAGCAGGAATACAAATTGAAAACCACCAATTTAGATGAGTTAAATGTTTATAAATAAGAGTTACACGTACTTCAGTGATTAAAATGAATCCCCACATTTCTTTGAAGGCTGCATATGATTAATGACAAATAAAACTGCTCTCTCAGATCAAATTATGCAGTACCCAGGAAACACACATTGTCTCCACAAATTAGCACATAATGTTTTAACAAACACACCAGATCTAATTTACTCAAACGAGTGACTTCCTGAAAAGCAGCCACCCTAGGAATAATAGTGTCAAACATTTATTGAGCTCTTACTGTGTTCCAGGCACTCTCTCTTGTATTCCTTACATGGATTAGCCTTTCAAATTCAAATAACTCTATGAAGTAGGTACCATACTATCTACATCTTCAGACAAGAAAACTCCAGGAGCGATTTCAGAAATTTTCCCAGGGTCAGCTAGATGGTAAATGGGAGAATGACAATCCAGGCAGTTTAGCTGTCTGTTCTTCTAACCACTAAACTATGCTCCCTCTTCCAGAAGATGAGTAATCATTTGAGGTATACTGTCAGTGTATACACTGGTTTTTAGAATTCTATTTTAGAATGGTGTTGAGTTTACCAGGTGTGTGTGTGTTAGTCACTCAGTCACATCTGACTCTTCGCAACCCCATGGACTGTAGCCCGCCAGGCTCCTCTGTCCATGGGATTTCCCAGGTCAGAATACGGGAGTGGGTTGCCATTTCCTTCTCCAGGGGATCTTCCCGACCCAGGATTGAACCCAGGTCTCCTGCATTGCAGGTAGATTCTTTATGGTCGGTTGGTCGGAGCCACCAGGAAAGCTCTGAATTTACAACACTAAGTCATTTATTTGTAAATGGACATTATCCTCTACTCACAAATGGTACTTAAATCATCTGACTGAAATTCACCCTCAACACATGAAGCCTCAGAAAAGTTGAGACTATTAAGAAGAATATGCTGCACAGAAAGTACGATGGGGCAGCTGGGCTTGAGACTGGTGGTGGTGAAAGGAAATTGAGTAAACAGGGGTCTGTTATGGGTTGAGTGTGTGCCCCCAGCACCAATTCATTATGTTAGTGTCCTCAGAATGGTACCTTTTTTGGTGATAGTGTCTTTATAGAGGTGCTCAATTTAAAACGAGGCCATCAGGGTGACCCTAATCCAGTATAACTGGTGTCCTTATGAAGAGGGGAATTCGAACAAGAGAGAGAGACACACAGGGAAGATCACAAACAGAGACAAGCCAATCATGCTCAAGCCAAGGAGAGAAGCCTGGCACAGATTCTTGGCTCACAGCCTTAGGAGGAAGCAGCACCGCCCACACCTCGATCTCGGACCTCCAGCCTCCAGCACCGTGTTTAAGCCCCTCAGGCTGCGGGACCGTGTCATGGCAACTATAGCAAACTAACTCATGTGAAATTTCCATTTTTAATAGTATGATTAATCACATGTGTTATTAAGATCCTACATACTGGTGCTCCAGTTCAGCTCAGTTCAGTTGCTCAGTTGTGTCTGACTCTTTGTGACCCCATGGACTGCAGCACACCAGGNTGCCATAAGGGTGGTGAGGTTATTGATATTTCTCCCGGCAATCTTGATTCCAGCATGCTCCAGGGTCCAAAGGAAAAAGTCTGTTCCATGTGGGAGCTGCCAGACAAGAGTCACGATGGTCCTTCTGTTTCTGTTCAGACTAATAGATGATTCCATTTTCAACTCACCCCAAGGGAAACAGAAAACCTCTCCAGCAATAGACTGGAAACATTCTTGCCTTGTAGTGTAGGCTCTAAGGACAGGTGGCTATAAGAAAATTGTATGTGACAATGTCCTTGAGTTTTTAAAAACTGATTATGGGGCCTTTGAAGTGGACGTGGTAGTCACACAGTCGTGTCTGACCCTTTGCGACCCCATGGACTGTAGACGCCACACTCCTCTATCCATGGGATTCTCCAGGCAAGAATACTGCAGTGGGTTGCCATTTCCTTCTCCAGGGTCTTTCCAAACCAGGGATTGAACCTGGGTCTCCTGCATTGCAGGCAGATTCTTTACTATCTGAGCCACCAAGGAAACCTTTGGGTTAGTATAAAAGCACACAAATGCCTTAGCTTCAGGTTAGGAGTGAAAAGGGGCTCCCTTAAATCCCCTGGAGAAGTGACTAGCTTCCCACTCCAGTATTCCTGCCTTGAGAATTCCATGGAAGAGAAGCCTGGTGGGCTACAGTCCTTGGAGGCACAAAGGGTCAGACATGACTGAGCAACTCACACTTTCACTTTTTCACAGTAACTAATCTACACAGAACAAGCCAAAACATGGTCAAGGGCCAGAATAAAATCTTTTTAGGGAAGACTATCAGCCAGGCAATTCGGATTCTGTGACTCAGGATGAGATACAGTTTGAAGGAAGAGTCCAGCCAGAGGACCAAATATGCTGCGACCACTGATCCATACCATGGAGTTCCTCCACTGAAACGCTGCAATGGGCTTTGAACTGGTCCCCTGCTTTTATCCTCACCCCTGACTGTCTATTCTTAATCCTATATCCAGAGTGAGTCTTCTCAGGCACTGCAGTTAAACCCATAAACTCATTCTCTAATGCACTTAAGTAAAGCCCATCCGCAAGGAACAGCATGGCCCTCTCCCATAGCCTCTCTGACCTTCTCTCCTACAACAACCTACTTCACTTTCTCTGCCTGGCCACAGAGGCCTCCTGATGCTCCTCAACCCCACTGATGCAGACCCCTCTGGCTGGATGCTCTCCTTCCAGGACACATACCAGACCAGTCCCCCCCCACCTTCCAGTCCCTCCTCCAGTCTAAGCACTCTGCCCCCAGGTGGCCCAAACTGATGGCTGCCTATGAACCTGCACACTTATATCTTGTCCTTTGTCTTCCCCCATAGCATTCACTACCTACTCACCTA